GTGTTTACAACCCCTGCCCTCAGGAAGGGTCTGGTCCAGACAGACAGAGGCAGCCAGACAGCCAGTTGAAGCAAATCATACTGGTTCCAACCATTCACCAGAAATGATGAGCGGATGACAGTCTAACAAGAGTGAGGTTTGGACACCTGCTGCTACAGAGGTGCCTTGTCATCCTGCCACGAGGAAGAAGCCATCGCTAAGAGCTGTGTGACTGCATTGTTTCAAAATGCCCATGATGGGCACATTGGTAGGCAGAGAGTAGTTGCTGGTTGCCCTGGAGGCAGAGAAACTGCTGAAGGGTCCAGAATTTCTTTCTGGGCCAATGAGAATGGTGGTGCTGGCTGCCCGAACTCAGTAATGCACCACACGCCAGTGGAGCATGCGCTTTAATGGGTGAACCAGGAGTTACGCGAATCAGACCTTAATAAAGGCAATAACAATAATAACATGTGGCTAGACTGATAAGTGAAATAAGCAAACAGCAGGGCCATTGCGGTCAGGTGGACTCTGTTGGCAGGTGACATGTAAGGAGAAGACAGGCTGAGTTCTAGGGGGAGGGACAGGACAATGGGTGCAGAGCCCCTGGGGCAGGAGCCAGGTGCGGCGTCCTGCAAGGGGATGCGGCTCTGTGCAGTGTGGAGCGGGAGGTGTAGAGAAAGGTGGGCTTGGGTTCCCTGGGCCGTGACCCGGTGACCGGCCTCTGTGCTCAGAAGCCCGCAGGATTTCCTCCCAACTGCTCAACGCTTGGGCAGATGGCCTGGCTTCCACTTGCAGGGTAAGTGGATTTGCAGTGTTTTTCTGTTATTCCTTTCAGGAGTGTCCTCAAACCCCCAGGGAAGTGTGGGCAGGGGGCAGGGTGCCAAGGAGAGCCTAGTAATTCAACCCAGAGAAGCTACGACCTCTACTACCCTACGGTCACACAGCTGCACTCTGGCCCGCCAGCCGCCTGGGCTAGGCCACACCACCCCTGCCGCCGCAGCCACCGCCAGCTGGTTTGGAATGGGGTCTCTTTGTGGTCCTGCTCTGCAAGCCCCCGTCCATCCTGAGGATCTGCCCATTTCCAGAGTGGCTTCCCAGCAGGGTGACGCTGACTGTCCCAGCATTACCTTCTGGGGAATTTCATGTTTCCCAAGCCACGGAGAGATGTGAGTGCCAAGGGATGGCCCAGAGCCAAAGGTGGCTGGAGATGCCAGGGAATGTCCTGGAAACATCCCGCCACGTCTGCATTGCGCTCTGCGCTGGAGGACGGTGGCTTCCGTGCCCCCAGGGGCTCCTTCCCTCCTGCTGGGGAGCCCTTGGTTTTGCCTACCCCAGCAGCCACCCTTCTGCCCACTCCCCACCCATGTTAGGGTCTTCTGGGCCACAGCTGCACCCCCTCTGCAATCACAAGGAAGTCCCAGGCATGGGAGGGTGCTGCTGTTGCCACAGGCCTGGTTGGAACAGTGACCCGGGAGTCCTGAGGAGCTGTTGGGTTCTTGCAAGGAGCTGTGGGAGCCACCAGCATCCTGTCATCCCTGAGGGTACACAGAGCCATCTCAAATGGGATTTACTCTGGAGGCAGGAGAGCAGGAATATCACCCCCACTCTGCACTGGGGAGAGAGGTGTCATCCCACAGAGGAGGTGGCACATCCCAGATTGGAACTCAGCCAGTGGGAGTCTGGATTCCTACCCCCAGGTGCCAGGGCTTGGGGGAAGCCCCTAGTCTGGGGGGGGGGGGCTGCAGGAGCCTGGACACGCAGGTGGGCATCTGGGCACTGGGCCTGCTGGAGAGTCAGGGACTGAGGCCTCAGAGTTCTGGCAGAAGTGACAGGGTAGGACATATGGACCTAGACAGATGGAGCAGAGGCTCCAGGCCCAAGAGGAAGCAACACTGGCCCTCAGTGGGCAGCCCTGCTTATGCAGACTCGTGTCAAGGAACGTTTGTGATCAATCAGGGTTACAGCTCCAGCCATTCCTTCACCACGTCCCAGAGGGTGGGAGGGTGGGTCTCTAGTGGTCTGTCCCCTCCTCCTCAGCGTGCAGGTAGCCTGGCTTCTATTTTTGTCCCCCATCAGACTGGAAAGTCTCCAAGGGCAAAGACTGCCTCTACCTCCACTGGAGATCTGGGCTGGGGACCCGTCGGGTGCTAGGACTTAGGGCTGGCAGGAGAGGAAGGGAGCCAGCTTCTTAAAGCAGCAGGCCCTGGGAGTGGGGTGGTGGCCACAGGACTTCATTCCTGATCCTGTGCCAGCCCGGACAGCCTGGTCCCCTGGAAGAGGGCCAGGATGGAGCTCAGGTCTGGCGCCTCCCGAGGCTGAGTGCCCACCCTAATCTGGTTCTCTCCGGGGCCTGGAAGAACCCCAAGCGTGGCAACTGGGTCATTTCCCAGGACCCAGACTCCTTTTGTGGTGTTGGCATGCCCCGTCCTGTCCCTTGGGGGTTTGGCACTTGTCACTGTGCTTCACTTAGCCAAGGGAAGGGACAGAATTAGCTCTCCACTCTCATTCCTGAGGCTCCCCAACCGGCCAAACCATCCAGGGAGGGACCAGAATTCGGTCTCCTGGGAATCTGCCCAAGGCTCTGATTCCTCCAGGACAAGATCCAGAAAGAGCCTGAAAGCTCCTGACACACAGGGCTGGGGCCAGGCCCTGCTGTGCCATCGAGAGAAGCCCCTGGGGCTCTGGGAGCCTGAGAGAACCCTCTGCAGCCAAGAGGGTGATTTGCACTCAGCGGGGCCTGGGGAGGGCCGGCCAGGCCTTGCTCTCCGCCTGGCCCATCGCTCCCCAGGGACCCTCGCTGTGTTCCTGCTCTGCAGGCCAGATGCAATTTCATGGAAACCTCAGAAGTCAAATCCTTTCCAAAAGGTCGGCTGGGAGCCAGACCCTGAGCACAGAAATCCATCGGCTGTTCAAGGACCGTTAGGAAAATAGGCGTTCAGGGGACACAACCCCCAGCTGGACTTTCTCATCTGTCTCTGCCTACCAGGGTGTGCTGGCCCCAAGCTGTGTCCTGGGGGATCTGGTGACTGGCCACCTGAGCTAGGGACCCACTCACCTTAATTGGACGTGTCTGTCTCTGTGTGTGTGTGTGTGTGTGTGTGTGTGTGTCGGGGGCAAGATAGGCATGGGCAGCCCCAGGAGACCCTTTGGCAATCCCTCCTCTATGCTTTGGCAACACTTGTCCTTAAGACCTGAAGGAAGGTGACAGGTCTGGTTGTGACACTTTAACAAGGAGGAGCCTTGTGGGTCGGGATGAGTTCCAGTTCCACACTGGACTGGGAGCAGTGGCATAGATGTGTAACCCCGGCTACTTGGGAGGCTGAGGCAGGAGGATTCCAAGTTCAAGGTTCAGCCTAGGCTATACAGCGAGACCCTGCCTCAAAATATAAAGAGTCGGGGATGTAGCTCAGTGGTACAGCATCCCCTAGGTTCCATTGTCATTAGAGAAGGAAAAAATATTCTGGACCTGGCAAGCCTTCTGCCCGTCCTGTCTGCTTCTCACCTCTGAAAGAGGTTTTGTAATTCTCTGCAGAAAGGGTACTATGAAATGTGAGTAGACACCTCGAGAGCCACTGAGTCCTTGCATCTGTTTGCTTCCCTCCATCCCTGGCTTAAGTTTTAACTTTTCCTTTTGACACTTTTTCCCCTGGCATGTGCACAACAGCCAAGCTCTCTCTACTGTGTATTTCTGCTGCCTCAAAAGCAGGTCTGACCTGCATTGGCCAATGAAATGTGAACAGAAGTGACGTATTTTGTTTCTGGGTAGAAACTTGAAGAGGGGCTGGGGAGTTGGCTCAGTAGGATAAGCAATTGACTGGCAAACGCAAGGATTTGAGTTCAATCCCCGGTTCTGCAAAAAAACAAAA